CCCCCCCGTGCTCCCCCAACTCCCTCACTTTCCCTCGAACACATGAGATTGTTCCCACCTTGGGGCCCTGGCACCTGCCATCACCCCGCCTGGTCTGCTGTGTTTTACTGTTTGCAGGCTCCTCATTCGGGCCTCACACAATGCCACCTCCTCCGAGAGGCCCTTCCTGACTGTCCTTGCTGGAACGGCCTCTCTCCCAGCCACCTTCCGCCTCAGCCCCTGCTGCGCTTGCTTCCTACCACCAGTCGCTATCTGAATCTCTCATATCCATTACTGGCTCGTGTGTTTCTGCTTCCGTGTGAGCTCGGAAGGGCAGGGACCCTGCCAGCTGTCCCCGGTAATGTGCCCCCAGGCCCTCGGACAGGCCCCGGCACATAGTAGGTGCCGAGCAGACATTTATGGGATGGATGAATGAGTGAGTGAATTAACGACAGTCTTCTATGCTCTCGGTTCCTGGAGGACACACGCGTTTTTGTTGCTGTTGCTGTGACTTTTGCTCTTTCCCCAGCAGGTGTCTCTGCGTCAGCCTGGCGGCCACGTGGGACCAAAGCGCTAGGGCAGTTCCCTACCTCAGAGGCTGCGTCCCAGCCTCCCCGGCGCTTCCCGCTAGATGCCAAGGGCACTCTCCCCCCGCCCACGCTGGAACAACCGGAACTGTCTCTAGACACTGCCAAAGGCGGGGGACCGTCGCCCCCACAGAGAAGCCCGTCTAGCCCAGCGCTGGGCGCCCAGAGGGGTGAAAAGCCAAAATGTCTCGACTCATTTAGGATGGAGCCTGACGCGGTGCCACGGTGTGGCCAGCAGGTGGCAGCAAAGACCGCCCTTTCGATCGCACGGTCGCCCGCCCTTGGTGAAAACTCTTCCCCGAGAAACCCATTTGGCAACCGCGCCCACGTGCCCGCCGGGCCCCGCGCGTAATTTCGCCCCCGGTTGTAGCCCTTTCCCTCCTGCCCTTGGTCGGGTTATCCGGGCCTCTCCGGGCCTGTCTCCTCCTCGGCACTCTGCCTGGCTGACCGCCGCAGCCCTCCCCACCGGCGTCTGCTTCGCGTGCCCCTCTCCCCGCTCTCAGACGGCAGCTCAGGGAGCAAGGGCTG